ATATATATATATATATATAGAGAGAGAGAGAGAGAGAGAGAGAGAGAGAGAGAGAGAGAGAGAAAGAATTAAAGGGTAAGATTTGGAGTGGTTAAAACTTTAGATTGCCAGTTATTCAAAGCCGCAGTTCCAGAGTTGAGAGGACTAAGTGCAGGGCATTAGGCATAGAACCCAGCGATCCCCAAAGCATGCACATAAACGCCTGTGATGGGGAATGATACTATGAGGAAAGAATACCATGACAAATGACCCAGTGATAATGTAAACATCCTTTAGGAAGAAATCTGGTACACACTGCAAAGCTAATAAGCAAACTGATGGTATCCCCTCACCACATATCACTGTTACAATAAATACATTTATATTAAGTTTTTTCTTTTGGAGAGGTTTTTCGCTATAGGGAGTGTGCGCTCGCCAGACAGAGAGAGAGAGACATAGAGACAGAAAGCGAGAAACCACCCCCCGGGGAGATGGCCACGCCACAATCCCTTCTCCTCCATTCTCCTCTTGGGATCTTGGGCACGCACGCACACGCGCCCGGCGTGAGTTTTAAGCCACCGGGTCCGGGACACGAACTGCGGTCGACTACGTGGGAGTCCAGCGACATAGCCATTGTGCTAACTGCTGGTCCCTTAAGTTCTTAATATAGAACAAGAGGATCTCTCAAATCCCTATCTCTTAAATACTAGTGAAAAAGATGAATATGGGCAAATATCTAGATGTTAGAACATGCTCTGGAAAGCAGATGAGGCCAGAGAAGTTTTTTTCAGTTTTTGCTGTAGGGCATGTGTAGCCATGGCCGACCATGGCTCGAGTCCCGGACCTGGTGGCTCACTTTCTTGCTTTCCCTTTCTCTCTTTCTCTCTCTCTGGTCAAATTAAATAAATAGTAATAATAGCAAATGGAATTAAATAAATAAATATTTCTTTTAAAAAATCTGTCAAGATAGTATGTTTGAACATCCTATATCCTTCCCAATTCTCCATGCTTATTTAGATTTTAAAAGTTCTCCCAGACCAGGTAGGAAGAACATTCTATGTTCATTGCTTTGGGGAAGGAATGACATAGGAACAAAGGAAAAAGAATGAAAAACCTTGAACCTGGGAAAAGAAGATGATTGAGAGAAAGTAAGAAAGAGCAAAGTTTCTATGCTATCTAACCACCACATGATTAGGAATGCTATCCTGAGGAGGGAGCAAGTGGGGGAATAATAAAAAGTAACATGGATGTAGTCCAGAGAACTGACAGGATCTGAATTAGGATCGAGGGCAGATGCTGCAGAGACTCACGGACTAATGACTAATGACCTAGTGGGGAACTGGGAAGTCTCAGTGGTGTCAGTGAGGATAAAATGTCCCCACGAATTCGTGGTGTTACACTTTTTTACGCTGTAAGCCCTACAGGATCTAGATACAACTGTGGAGGAGGATGTAATGGATTGCTATGAATTGCTCTACCTTTTTAGAATATAATTTCAACAGATAACTTACTTAAAAGAGTTTTAAAGAAAAATAAAGTTACATATCTTGCAAATCCCAATTCCATGGACCAAGATACACATTAACCCACACTAAAAATAATATTTAGCATCTTTTACATTTGCCAACTGTTTTCACACAATTAGTGAACCTGATACCTGAAAAGGACATGGGACCTAGCCACAATGATGTAGGCAAGAGGGTATACTAAAGACCTCATGGGAGGCCTGGGTTCAGTTTCCAGACCAACTAGAATAGGCCACGTGTGACCGTGTGCACCTGTAGTCTTAACTGGATAGGAATCTGGGGCACAAAGGACAGTAATGTGGTAAAGCACTATAAAAAATAGTATCTTGGGGCCGGCAGCTGGCATGGTGGTAAAAGTGCTGGACTCTGAAGTGGCCAACTGTTGTTTGAGTCCCAAATCTGGTAGCTTGCTTTCTTACTTTCTTTCTCTTTCTCTTTCTCTCTCTCTCTCTCTCTCTCTCTGGTCAAATTAAATAAGTAATTCTTTTTAAAAAAATAGTATCTCTTGCAGGGTATGCATACACCTATAAGCTCAGACACATAGGAAGCTGAGGCAGAAGGATCGTTACTTCAATGCTGGCCTGGGCAACATAGCAAGAATCTGTATAAAAAAGAGCTGCATGGTGGGAACCAGCAGTTAGCGTAATGGCTATGTCGCTGGACTCCCACGTAGT